TTCTTCAGATGGGAGTTGGTCAGTCAATCGGTCACCTGCTCAGCCCATGCCATGCATCCCCATCCCCATCCCCATGTGACCAGCTGCAGCAGCACTAGCTAGGAGCTACTGATACATATTTGGGTCTTCTATTGCCATTTGCCTGCTAGAGTGCGCGGAGGAGTCGGAACATGGAGCCAAAACTTTAGTGGCTTTACCCGCTCTAGTTCATCTTGAGAGGAGTGAAAGAAAAACGACCTAAAGTCTTCCACAGCTCTAACAAACAGAGTCCTAAATCCAATGCAACCACCTACAAAAATGGTAGAGCTATGAACATGTATAATGCCACCCATTAAAAAAAAGGGGTAATTGTCTGTTGGACATCAAAGTGACGGTCTTTTTCTAGCGGATATCCACTTTGGAGCATTTTGACAGAAGACACTCTGGTTCGGTGAAATTAAGCCACATGACACCGCGAACCGGTTGCAGCCGGTCGAGGAGAGAGAACACTATTCTAGAATGTCTATTCCAGAATGTCATTTCACCGCTGTTCTCTCTCTTCAACCGGCTGCAACCGGTCCGTGGTGTTCTGTGGCCTAATTTTACCGAACTAGAGTGTCTTCTGACAAAATGCTCCAAAGTGAATATCCGCGAGCAAAGAACCATCACTTTGGATGTCAACAGACAATTGTCCCTAGAAAAAAGAAGAGACAGAGGATATAATGTCACACATGGAGTGCCAGTTAATGTGTATGCTTGTACTACACTATGTATCATGCATAGAGCCTGTTCGGGAGGCCGTATCGTATCGTGGATTATTTACTGCTGGCTGGTTTGGTGTGAGAGAAAAACACTGTTCCCAACTGGAAATTTACGATCGTTTACGAGCAAGCGAACAGGCATTATTTCGCCCTGGTACGATACAGTGGCCGTTAAACTGGAGACAACAGTCTTACTAGCAATGGAATAGTGTTTTTTCCTCGTAATAAATTAGCCAACAATACTTTTTAGCCTGGCTTTTCAGCTAAGCGAACCGGGCTTTAGCTTGCTCATGAAACTAACTACTGCTATCATGTAGGATTAAGCTACAAGGATGCATGACACTGACGCAACACTTGCTCGATTCAGTATAGTATAGTACGTACAAGCATATAAACCAAAGACCTGATTCTTCCATATCCTTCGTCATTTGTTTGCAAAAACGGAAAACACCATAACCAAACCACCAACGCATACGTCCAATCGCTAATTGCCTGCTAGCTAGCTATTGTACCACGTAGTACTGCTCAATAACTAACATTGCCCGCCGCTACTTAACCACCAATAATTTGGTTGATGGATCACATGAATGATGAAGATGCAACTGCAGTTATGTGTTCTGAAAAACACCAACAAACAATGCTGTGATGTCCTGCTCGGCTAGCTGCGCCTAACGTATGTAATCCTCCTATGGGCCTGTTTGGTTTCTTTTACCGAATTTTAGTCCCTGTCCTATTGGATGTTTGAACACATGTATGGAGTATTAAATATAGACTAAAAAAATAACTAATTACACAGATTGCGTCTAATTTGCAAGACGAATTTTTTAAGCCTAGTTAGTCCATATTCGACAATGTGGTGCTACAATAAATATGTGCTAATGACGGATTAATTAGGCTTAATAAATTCGTCTCGTAAATTAGTCTCCATCTGTGTAATTAGTTTTATAATTAACTCATATTTAGTCCTTCTAATTAGCATCCGAACGTCCGATGTGACATGGACTAAAATTTAGTCCGTGGAACCAAACACTACGTAGATGATGAATGGCGTGTTCGGCTGGCTTTAAGCCGGCCGGCTGGCTGGCTATCCAACTCACAGAATCATTGTTCACGTCCTGCCAGAACAGTATTTTTCTCTCACAACAATCAGCCGAAACAGTATTTTTCAGTCCTGCCGAACAGGCCTGAAAGGAACAATTCAAGGACCCATGGCTTTATTATAGCAAATGGGATCCAGGATTGCAAGTACTGGAGTACATCTAGATTAAGGGGCTGTGTCTGTATAGGAAAAAAATGGTCCCTAAATCCAACATGCAGGGAGCAGTAGGCTACTGTAAGTTGGAACTGCAGGGACCTCACGGCATGCCATGATGCCATGACAATATGTTGATTTTTTTCCCAGTATTTAGGCACAAGTAAAAAACCAGAAAACCGGCCTTGTTCATGGAAAGCTAGTTTAGTAAGAATGCCGTATGCATGCAGCAGCAGCAGCAGAAATGCCTATATGTTGAACAGTACTTGCCAGTAGCTTACAACAAACAGCAAATATTCCTAATTATTCCATGCGCCAAAGGAATATGCCCACACCCAAATACAATGGAAAATCATCATAGGTGTCAAACTTAGTCAGGCTACTGAACATTACACAGTACAATAACAAACAAGATGTTTCTGTAAAGCTGACAAGAAGACGAGAGAGTTATCAACAAACCAAAGACGGGCAAGCAAAAGAATATTAAACAGGCCAGAATCGAGCACGGAGGCGGACGGCCCGGGAGGCGATTTCTCTCAGCGTGTGTCTTGCTGTGGACACGTCGTTCCGTGGCTGCCTCTCCTGCTCAGGCTCCTCAAAGGCATTCATGAACTCCTCCTGTTGCAACCTGTAAGCCAACGCAGCATCTTCAGATTGGTCTAATCCTACCGCGCTCCTTGGCAACATCAGCTGCGAGGCCGGGACGAAGCCCCTCCTGCTGTTACTGCTTCTTGTGCTGCCATGTGTGCTGATGAAGTTCGCACTAGTGTTGGTGCTTGTTGTGCTGCCGGGTTCGATGAAGGTCCTGTAGCTGCTTCTTGTTCTACCTTCGGTGATGAAGCTGCTGCTGCTGCTCCTAGCTCTAGTTCTCATACCGGTGCCACCTTGTGAGAACCTATTAGCTCTCAGTGGGCTACGGTTCACATCCTTGCCGCATGGTGAAGGTGATGAGGTTGAACTCTTTCTTGCCTCAACTTCACTAGGAAATAAGAGCTGAATGGTGTTCCAGAGTACGGTGTTGATGGTGCACGATCTTGAGTTGCTGCAGAGTTACAATCATTTAGTCAAAGCCTTTACAGTTTATTGACCAAACACATCTTTTGTCGATATTGCACAGCTTTGAGGAAAGACTTACCTGATTAATTGCCTGCATTTTGGACACCGTTTTCCGCACTTGGCTGCAGCATGTCTTAAGCATTTCATGCAGAAGCTGTTAAATAGAACAGCAGTAATATGAGTTTCAGAACAGTTTACAGAGTAATGAAGAAACTGACTTAAAGTATTCAACATAATTACATCAAAGAATGTTCAATTCAAAAAAGTTTCAGGTAACACCGGTATAATGAACAAAATTTTAGATTGGTGGACAATGAACAGATAACCACCACTCAGTTGAGATATTTCAAATGATAAACCTCAGGATTAAAAAAAAGCCCTCTTTAGTACAATACTAATTTATTTCCACTCCAGCCTAACAATGAGAATTGTATTCCATAGTCCTATATGCATAGAATCAGAAAAACAAGATTTGTGAACTGAAATCTACACGGTAAACAAGCTTTCAGTGCCCCATATTTGCCATGAAACTGACAGACTAATCTTTATTGAAGCAAGAATGTACACTTCGAACAGTTGAAGCAATCATCTATTCCTTAGCAGAACAACAGGCAGTAACCAAAATGAACAAATATGTTGAGAAAGCAACTGCATTGTATGAACTATACAGTAATTCTTGCTATGTTCCCTGCCGGATACATTGCTTTCCGAATTCAAGTAACCTTTTTTACTCAAAGCACAGTCAAAGTACAGATGAAAATCATAGTACTCCAGTCTTGTATATAAACAAAATCAGGAAAAAAAAAGGAATTGTAAATGCGCAAGAAGTGCACATGTACATTGCAAATAAGCTTTTGTGGTCCATTTACCCGGGATAATTAACAGGCTTCTCCGACACTGACCAACAAAATTTTACAATTCCAAGATCATTCGTTAAACTGCACTTTCAACAACAGAAGAAAACACTTTCTGACATGCAATCAGTATACAAAATGAATTGTGCAACTCACAGGAAGCAACTGACATCCTACGGTTGCACACGCCACAAACAAAATGAACCAGGGAAAGTTTTTTATTTCTTCTCTTTGCATAGAGAATTCAAGCAACCACTTTTTTTTTCCAAAAGCACAGTTAGAAATTACCTGTGCCCACAAGGCGTGGTGGTCGGCTCAAAGCAGATCTCCAGGCAAATCTGCACAAAAAGCAATTCCCAAATCAATCCCCAATACCATCTAGTATGCAATCACAGATGTAACATCATATCATAGAAAAGAAAAGAAGCACCCTTACCGCACAAGAGAGCTCCTCCCGGAGGCGATCCATACACGGCATGTTGCCGGTGGCCGCTGCCTTCTCGCCAGATCCTGACGCCTCCTTGTCGCCCACAAGGACAACCTTCTCTCCCTCCTTGGCGGCCTTCACTTCCGATTTGCCGTCTAGTTGATTTTCCAAATCAACGACAGATACAGAACGCCCAAGAAGATTATACTCCTAGCACGAATTTGCCCAAGAAAATCGATTCAATCTTAGGAACAAACCTGCCCCAGTGTCCGTCTTGTCGTCTTCGTCGTCGAGCGCGAGAACCACCGGCGGGATCTTGGACGGAAACTGCCTACGGGGCCTCCTCTTTCTACGAGAAGGCGGCATTCAGACGGACGGGATCATGAACCCGAGCAGGAAAAGAATTAGGCGGGTCGGCCGCCGTACCTGGTGCTGGATCCGGCGCTGCCGCCGGCGGAGGAGGTGGAGGCCCGCCTCTTGCGACGGGACTCGCGGACGGGGGTGTCCTCGACGACCATCGCGGCGAGGAGGATGGACTCCTCGTCCCACCCGGCCAGCTCGGCGGCCGACCGGAACCGCGGGCTGATCAGGTCGGCGCCGTCCTTGGGCGCCGCCGCCCCATGGCGACGCGGCGCGGATCTGGGGCTGCCGCCTGCGTCTCTGGATGCCATCCCTAGCTCCCTCTCTCTGGCGATGGCGATTTGGTAGCCGTTGTGGGGGCTGAGGGGGGGAAGAAGAAGCAACGGTCGCCCCGCGGATCGGGAGGGTTTCGAAATGGGAGCGGAAGGCGGCGGCTTCTGCTCACTAGGCTGTCCTGCGTTGGGGATGTGTTTTAAGTTTGGATTATGTCCAAATCTGACCCATCAACTACTATGTTGTCTAATTTTAACCCCCAACTACCAAATCATCTGGTCAAGAAACCTTAAGTTTAAAAACCGTTCACTCTTAGCACCTAGACATGGCTGTGGCCGTTTCATGGCGACGTGTATCTAGTTTTGACCCACCACGCAAGCGTTGACCGCCACGTAGGACGCTCGCGCGGGAGGGATAGCCGCGCTCGCAGCGGATTTACGCCGCAGAGCGCCGCCTCCGACGGACTCTTCGCGGGCTCTGAACATCGCCTCCGCCGACCGCCGCGGATTGCTCCCCACGCGCAGGACGCACCTCCTCTGCCGGCCACCGCGGCCCGCTCCCCGCGCGCAGGCTGCGCCATCCACCGTGGTGTTCCGCACCATCGGCCGGCTTTGGAAGCAACACCGCTCTGATGGGCGTCGTCATACAGCCTGTTCGTTTCGTCGTAAACGATCGTGGATTATTTACTACTGGCTGGTTTGGTATGAGAGAAAAATAATGTTCCAGCTTATAATCCACGATCGTATACGAGCAAGCGAACAGGCTGATACTCGGCGCCGTGAAGCTGGGTGCGCTCCTGGTCTTCACCCTCGTCGTCGATCGGTACGGCCGGAAGGTGCTCTTCATGGTCGGTCTTCGTGCTCACGCAGTTGTTCCTCGCCATGCTTTGCCGCCTCAAGTACGCCGCCTGGGTCGTCGCCATGACCGTCTTCTCTTCGTCGCGCTCTTCCTGCCTTAGACCAAGGGGGTGCCTGAGTCCAGTTTTCCTTTACTGGTTAGGGAGAGCATCTTGTTAGTTGATCTTCAATGGTCTATTGGGCCCTTGTCTTTGCGTCTTGATCGGGGGCGTCCAACCCTAATATGGTTGGTGGGCCCCTGTCGCACAACACATATGAAAGAGAGGTGGGGATCACGGCTCTAACTACGAGGTTGGTCTGAGCCGCCGGTGATCCACCTATAGAAAACCTAATCCGATCTACAGTAGTGCTGGTAGCGACGGAAAGCCCCACCGACTCCGCCGTCGCCACTGGACCTTGCCTCATCGCCATTGGTCGTCTCCAGCACGCTGGACCCCACCGCAAGAGCTCCCTCAACACCGGCGTGCAAGAGGCTTACCCCTGATCTACTTAACAGAGGTACTTTATGATTCTAACAATGGTACCAGAGCCAAGATTAAAGTATGGGGTAGAGCATTGAAAAGAAATCAAAGAGAACAAGGGTCCAATCCGTTTTCAGATTGAAACACTAACCCTAACCGGGTAAGAGCAAACAGAAAAGAGACCAGAAATGGCAGATATCACCCAACTCCTGGTCACCACCGCCACCGAGCGGGGAAAGATGCTACACCGCCGTCTTTGTCGGCGCACGGCAAGAAAAGAAATGATCCCGTTCGGATCTGAGAAGAAAGAGGGTTATTCTAACCCTAATAGGGTGAAACACAAAAAAGAGAAAGGAATGGAGAAAAGAACCCTATCCCTGAAGGGAAGAAAATGATTCGGTACAAATAGAAAAGAAAGGAAATCAAGTTAAAAAGGTGAACCGAATCTCATGAATCGAATCGGGGAAAGAAACCCTAACCCTAGATCCCCAAATCGGTTGAATCCAACAAGAACAGTGGGTCGGATTCCGAACCCTAACCTAGATCTAAACCCCATCCCCACCACGGGTTAATCCCAGAAGAGAGAAGGGGACGGGGAAGAAGAGGAAAGAGACCTACCTCGTCGTGCGTCGGGTTGACCCTTCGCCGGCGCGGGAGAAGAAGACCGAGCCGAGGGAGCTGTTTCGCCCGGGCTCGGTCAAGAAAAGCGCCATGTGCCGGGCCGCTCGGGCGGTGGCGCGCTCACTCACCGGGAGCGCACACACCGGCCGAGGGGGCCGGCGACGACAATGCCATGGTCACCCGCTCCATCCATCGTCTTCGCTCTCGCTTCTTCTTTGCTTCTTTGCTGCTACCGAGGGAGAAGACAGAACGCTTGAGCAGAGAGAGAGAGGAAAGAGCCGAATGGCCTCTAGGGTTTAGGGACCACGGCAGGAGAAGGTTTTTGTTCGGCCGAAACGATTGGACGGCCGTCGAATGAGATCTGACGACCATGGAAGAATGGACCAACTCGCGACCTAGGCGGGCGCGCGTGGCCGAGCGGCTTTGCCGGCCCAGGCCTAGGTTGCGGCCTGGGTGTGGTCGGGCGTCTTGCACAGAAGTGGGCCGGGCCGTTTTGCCGGCTGGGCCGAAGGAATAGTGCTGAATTGAATCAATTTTTCTTTTTTCTTTTTCCAGTAAATGTTTATTTCCTAAAAATTGATTAATGGCTTACAGAAAATAGAAAAAGCAATTTTTCCCTGTGGGTAAAATTCAAGAAATTAAGTATACGTTTTTCGCTGCTAAAGAAATTGTTTATTCTCCAGTTATTTTGAACCAACGTGATATTTAATTGGAGAAAAAGAGAGTTTTTCCGCTGTTAAAGAAATTGTTTATTCTCCAGTTATTTTGAACCAACGTGATATTTAATTGGAGAAAAAGAGATTTTGACATGATTATGACGTTGTTATTTTCTAACCAACGTTGTTAATAACAATATCGTAATTTAATGATTTTATGCATTAATTCTATTTCTGTCCAACGGTGATGTAGAATCAGTGTATAAAAACAGTTGTAAATTTTAATGATTTATGCATTAATTCTATTTCTGTCCAACGGTGATATAGAATTAGTGTGTAAGAACAGTTGTATGTTTTGATTTTGATCAACGTTGGAATCAAGGCATGCAAATGGTGTTATTTTTTATGTTAAGAAAAAGTTTGACCTGGCCTTCATCTTGACTAAGGTGGACTGGATAGTCACCTCACTGTGTTGCACAGAGCCTGTGGCACCGGTGAGAGAGACAAACGAGACTGATGCTGCTTGGACAACTAAAGAGAGGGTTTTTGAATCCTGAAAGATGTCCTATGCCTTCGAGCATAGGAAGTGGGTCACTACCAACAAGAAATGTTTGGCTGTGATAAAGAACACGATTGAGCCTGCAATTGTGTGCTCAATCCCAGAGTGTGACATGGTCACCGAATACCTCGATAGAATAAAGAGTCAGTTCACTGTCTATTCAAAGACATATGCTACCCAACTGATAAAACAGCTAGTGACAGAGAGTTACTCTGAAAATGGTGGCATAAGAGAGCTCACGATGCGTCGTCGAAATTATGGCACTATCGTTTAGGCCATATTTCAAGGGGGGGAATAGAAAGACTAGTTAAGAATAATATTCTTCCTCCATTAGAGCTCTCAAATTTAGAACAATGCAGAGATTGCATAAAAGAAAAGTATGTAAAGAAAATTAAGAAAGATATCAAACGAAGCGTAGGAATTTTATAGATTATTTACACAGGCATCTGTGGTCAGTTTCCTGTAAAGAGTGTGGATGGTAATGATTCGTTCATAACATTCACAGATGATTACTCCCATTATGTCTATATTTATTCAATCAAAGAAAGAACAGAAGCATTAGATAAATGTATATATTTAAGGCAAAAGTTGAAATTCAACGTAATTTAAAGATTAAGAAAGTCAGGTCCAATCGTGGGGAGTACTATGGTCGGCATACCCCATATGGCCATATTCCTGGACCTTTTACAAGGTTCTTACAGGAGAATGGCAAAGTAGCCCAGGATACTACATCGGGCGAACCTCAGCAGAATGGAGTAGCTAGAAGACGCAATCATACCCTGATAGATATGGTGCGCAGTATGATAAGTTACTCCACCTTACAGTTAAGCTTGTGGATGGAGGCATTAAAAACCGCCATTCATATTCTCAATAGAGTACAAAGTAAGTCGGTGCCTAAAACATCATATGAGTTGTGGACAGGAAGAGTACCATTACTAAACCACTTACGTGTGTGGGGGAGTCCTACTAAGGCTAAAGTATTCAACCAAAATATTGGAAAGTTAGATCTTAAAACAGTGAGTTGCCATTTCATTGGCTACCCAGAAAAGTCAAAAGGTTTTTATTTCTACTATCCATAGAGACATACAAAGTTTGTGGAAACGAGACACGCTGTCTTCCTAGAGGATGAATTGATGAGGGGGAGCATGGTAGCTCAAGAAATTGACCTTGAATAGAAATGGGTGTATGCGCCTACTCTAATGATTCATGAGCCTTTTTTATCACTACTTGTTGTCGCTGCACCGATAGTGTCAGATACTGTGGTGTCAGCACCTGTTGTTATTCCGCCTATGGCAACAATAAATGATGATAAGGAACCTGTTCTTCAGGATCCTATAGAACCTATTGCCACACATGAGGGGGAGCAACAACAGCCTCAAACAAAAGATGTGCCAAATGTGGAGGCCCCTAAAAGGCCTCAAAGAGTTAGAAAATCAACTATTTCTGCTGATAATGAAGTATACAACACTGAGGAATTTCAAATAGAGCATGATCCCACCTCATTTGAATAAGCCATGAAAAGTGATCATTCATCAAAGTGGCTTGAGGCCATGGAAGATGAAATGAAATATATGAATACTAATAAAGTTTGGGACTTGAAGATAATTCCTAAAGGAGCCAAAACAGTAGGTTATAAATGAGTCTACAAAACAAAACTTGACTCCCAAGGGAATATAGAGAGATATAAAGTGCAACTTATGGCAAAAGGCTTTACGCAAAGAGAATGGATTGATTACAATGAGATCTTTTTCTACAGTCTCATGTAAGGATTCCTTCAGAATCATAATGGCATTAGTGGCACATTAAGATTTAGAATTATATCAAATGGATGTAAAGACGGCATTTCTGAACGGGGACTTGGAGGAAAATGTTTATATGGCACAA